TATAACATCTTGAGGTGGAGAAGGCCATTCTCAACATGGCACCAAATGTACAAACTATTTTTTTTAAAAGAGTGAATGATTTCATGAATAAAAATAATTTTTATTGTAAAATTAACATCCCCCCCAAATTAAAATACAAAGTATAAAAAAGGAGGAAAAAAAGCATTGTCAGACAATTAGGCAAGGATTTGTCCTTTAAAGTACTTATTCAGTTGCTTCTTTAGTTCTACCTTGTTCTGAGGAGTGACCTGCTCTGAGATGGTCTTCATGTGATGGAGATGTGGATATTATACCTGCATTCGTAAGAAATAAAAGGAGGATCTTAATTTGATCAGCACTGCGCTTTAGCCAGTTGAAAAAGAGGACATAAACCTTGCCCCCATGGAGCTTTCAATATGGTTGAAAAGACCAAAAAAGCACGTACCCCAAACACTACAGATATTTTAAAAACCTATGTTTACTCATGACATTTGCAGAGCATCCACTTGGTGTGTGAATTCTGGAAGTGTGTGAGCCTTATGAACCTTGGACAAATTACTTACCTTTTTTAAGCTTTAAGTCCCTCAACTATAAAGTGAGGACAATAATAGTACCCACCTCAAGGAGTTGTTAGGACACAATTCATATAAATTGCCTAGAATGTGTTAAGCCATTATTATCATCATTATTGTTAATAGCACAATATTTGTTTTCTTTCTGAAAATTATTGGGGTAAATCCTGCTCTCCCTTGCTATTAAGATGGGATTAATGAGTGGAAGAACTGATGCAATCTATAATCACAACCAAAAGTATAAATAAAAGATAGATACTGTCTCCAGGGAGATTAATTCACCAGTGACAGCCCCTATGGGATCACTGGCACACTGGGTGTGAACTTGTTTTATCTGCCTTTGAATCAGATTTGGAACCAGGAGAGATTATCCAATGCCTCCAGAATCACATTCACCCTACCTGCCATATTAAGACCTTTGGTGGCTTTTACTGAAGTGCTGACCTGATCATACTTGCTTCCCTCTCTCAGGACTGTTGGAATCCAACCCTTCTGCAACCTTTCTCCTGACTAAGCTTCTATAGCTAAACACATCTGCTTAATACAGATTCAGATAAGAAGAGGTAAGTTCTAGTGATGTCTCTTTCTATTCACACCAGCCTAGATGGTATTGTGTTTTGTTTTGAGACAGAAAATGAAGGTTCTGAGTTTTGGCAATATCAGGCAGGGTAAGATGCCTCCATGAGCTAAATGAATTCTCGTTATGCCAAACAAATGGTTGTCACTTGTTCAGAATTATGTTGATCCCAGAATTATGTCCAAAAAATCCAATTATCTAGGAGATGAGGAGGAATGAGAAGGCAGGTCAAGTCACTAAAAATCAATTCTCTAAAACCAATACTCTGTCATTTTTGTCACATCCCTATGTGAAGACCAGCAAGAATTTCCCAGTAATAAAGTTTTTATCTTTTTGATTTAAAGTGAATGAATGAATGAATGAATAAATGCCAATACTCTGAAGATAAATTTGAGGATCAAACAATATAAAGAATAACCAATGATAAAATATTGAGGATTTGCGAGGTGGGGTGGGGAGCAATGGAATCTTGTTTTACTCTTTTCCTCAGCCATTTTATACACAAATGCATGAACTTCCTGGCAGATGCAGGCGATTTCTTTTCTGTTTTTGGAGACATACTCCCTTGCCTCATCCTCTTTCTGTCCCCGTCCCTGTCCTTGGTGGTTAAACAGCTGCAACAAACCATCCTAGCCATGAATTCAAGTGGTTGTATGTAAATGTGTAGTTTGTCAAATTGACCTAGAGGTGTCTGGATGAAGCAGGAATCCATACTCTGGTGAATGGACCCTCAGAGCCAATTGTTATAAGTCAAGCTTTAAATTTATCTCTTTTGGGAGGTCTTTTTTGGTTAAATCACGTATTCCGATCAATCCTCATATACATGCTTCTTTCTCTTAATTGAATTTCCATTCTTTCAGCACCTCAGATTAAAACTTCAAATGTTCTTTCAGCTCCTTCCTCTCTCCTACATTCATACCTTGCTCTTGATTCCCACTGCCACTCTCCGAGCTAACGTTCTCAGCCTCTCTCCCATAGACTCTTGCAGTAGCCTCCCCACTGAGTTCCCAACTTCCAGTCTCTTCTTGAATCCCTCGTTATTCAGCCATAATAAATGTTTTTAAATGCTGCTCCAATCATTTCACACCTCTTCTGAAAAAAAAATCTTCATTTGATCAGACTCCTTAACCTAGTATTCAAGATTTCCCATATCCTGGACCCAAGTTATTTTTGCAACCTGTTTTTCCACTACGCCATGTTATGCACTCTGTGCTGCAGTAAGTGATGACGTGTGCTTTCCACGCTTTCAAACAATGTGTACAACTCTAATGCCTTCACCATCACTGACGAATATTCAGATCCCTTCCATTCCTTCTTGTTTAATTTTCATTTATATTAAAGACATATGCGTTCAAAGTTAAAAAAATAAAATAATACTATGGGCTTATAATGAAAAATAGCAGTTCCCTTCTTCATCATTCCTCACTCTCAATATCCTGGTCTCCCAAGGTAACACATCTTTAATAATTTCAGTGTTTTACCCATACTTCTTAATAACAAGTCTTTACTCTATTTGTGTTTTTTTAGTTTTAAATATGACTTATTTATCACTTACTATAAAAAATGAGGACTTTTGACCCTTACATAACAAAGAGAAAGAGTGAGGACAAAAGACAGAGAGAGAGAGAGAGAGAGAGAGTGAGAGAATGTCTATGTCTTACTCTCCAGATACTCTTATATCATACTTTTTGGTTATATCAGCATGGAGAGTTTACACTTTCACAACTGCATAAACATTAGTCACAGTGGAATCATTTAGTGAACTATGGTTACCTAAAAAAAAAAAATCTCTTCTCAATTCTCACAGATGGTCAGATGGTACAATTCCTGTTGTTTTTGTTTGTTTGTTTTTGGAGACATGACAAGGGATCTTGTCCTCAACACCAGTCTGTTCTTATTACATAATCCACACACATCTTCAGGGTCCTTCTACTATATGCTAAGGGATTCTCACAAATCAACATCATTTAGATGGGTCACTTTAAAGCGACCAGGTTTTAGTGTTGACTAAAACAACAGAAAAAAAAAAAACCCAATGAAAACCATACTCATGGCTCCAGCCAGTAAACTGAAACAAGTCTCTCTGGTAGAGGTAACAATTATGACAAATTCATATCTAATTTCTTGGGTCAAACACTCTCAGAATTCATTCCCATATACGGTCTCCAAATTTCTGCCCCAAATTAGCAAGGACCTGTAATGTTTCTTGCCCTGGCAGAGCCTGCAGCAATCGAACCCTGTTTACCTGATGGGTATGGAGAGGGCCATCAGGAGAATTGTTCCTTTTACTCTGCATCCCACTCAGTAAGGAAGTATCACAATTTTCTTAAGATTTTATTTTTAGAACAGTTTCACATCACAGCAAAACTCAGCAAGAGTACAGGGATTTCCCATATAACCCCTGCCCCTACGCATGCATAGCCTCCCCCTTTACCTTCATCCCTCACCAAAGTGGTACAATTGTTAGAGCTGATGAGCTTACCCAGACATATCATAATCACCCAAAGTCCATAGTTACATTATGGTTCACTCTTCGTATTGTACATTCTATGGGTTTGGAAAAATGTATAATGACATGTATATACCGTTATAATATCATACAGAGGAGGCTCACTGCCTAAAAATCCTCTGTGCTCTACTTAGTCATCCCTCCCTCCTAAACGTTGGCAACCACTGATCTTTTTACTGTCTTCATAGTGTTGCATTTTCCAAACATACTGTATGATAGTTGGAATCATACAGTATATTGCCTTTTCAGATTGGCTTCTTTGAGTTAGTAATTAGCATTCAAGGTTCTTCTACGTCTTTTCATAGCTTGACAGCTTGTTTCTCTTTAGCGCTGAATAGTACTCCATTGTCTGGATGTACCACAGTTTATTTATCCATTCACCTTTGGAAGGACATCTCGGTTGCTTCCAAATTTTGGCAATTATGAGTAAAACTGTTGCAAACATCTTTGTGCAGGCTTTTGTGTGGATGTAAGTTTTCAGCTCATGTGAGTAAATACCCAGGAGTGTGATTACTGGATCATATGGTAAGAGTATGTTTAGTTGTGTAAGAAACTGGCAGACTGTCTTCCAAAGTGGCCCTACCATTTTGTATTCCCACCAGCAAATGAGAGTTCCTATTGTGCCACATCCTTGCTAGCATTTGGTGTCATTGTTCTCGATTTTGGCCACTCTAATAGGTGTGTAGTAGAATCTGATTGTTGTTCTAATTTGTATTTCCCTGATGACACATGTCTTAGTCCATTTGGGCTGCTATAACAAAATGCCGGAGACCAGGAGACCTATTGCAACATTTATCTCACTGATCTGGAGGCTGGGAAATCCAAGATCATGGCACTGGCAGTTTCAGTGTCTGGTAAAAGCCCACTTTTTGGTTAATAGATAGCACCTTGTAGCTGTAACTTCACATGGAAAGGACAGGAATCACTGTGGGCTCTTTTATAAGAGCACTAAGCCCATACATGAAGGCTCTACCTTCATTACCTAAGCGCCTACCCAAGACCCCACCTCTTAGGTCACACACTCCCTTAGCTGCAAGGTAGCTGGGAGAAGACCACCTCCCAATGACTTCTTTAATCATACAGAAGAGCCATAACAAATAATGAATGTCCACTAACCCATCACATAGGGCTTTGATTTAGGGGGAAAAAATGAAACCACTTTCTCTACTGAAAGGATTTTTCAAATGTGACTTATTAATTATTGTATCCATTAATGTTGTTATGATTTCTACTGAGGGTGTACCCCATTGCTCCCCCATAAAAGTATTTTTTTCCTGTTATCGTCAAAACTTCTGACAACTCAGGGTTTTTAAAATCACCCTTCTCTTCCTTGATTTTAGCAGGTATCTCCCATCAAAATTCAATGAAGCACATGAATGAAAGTTTTCCAGAGGATTTCATTCTCATAGGCTTTACCAAATATCCGTGGTTGGATCTTCCTCTCTTCTTTGCCCTCCTAATCTCCTACATGTTCACACTGTTGGGAAACATTGCTATTATTCTGGTCTCTCAAATAGATTCCCAACTCCAAAGTCCTATGTATTTCTTCCTCACAAGCCTCTCTTTTTTTGGACCTCTGTTTCACCAGCACAACTCTACCCCAAAAGCTGTTCAACCTGGGGGGGTGGCCCAACAAGAACATCACTTATACAGGCTGTATGACCCAGGCCTATGTATTTCACTGGCTAGGCTGTACTGAATGTGTCCTGCTTGGCACCATGGCCTTACACCACTATGTGGCTGTGTGTAAGCCTCTGAGATACTCTGTAATCATGAACCACAAGCTCTGCTGGCAGCTCTCCAGCACTGCTTGGCTCATTGGTCTGGCCAATTCACTACTGCAGTCCACACTCACAGTCCAGCTGCCCCTGTGTGGGAACCAGGAATTGGACCACTTCTTTTGTGAGCTGCCCAGTCTAATTAAGATGGCTTGCGTGGACACCACAGTCAGCGAGCTTACAGTGGTGGCCACCTTCCTGATAATGGGTCCCCTCTCCATGATTCTTGTCTCTTACTGTTATATTGCCCAAGCTGTATTTCAAATCCCTTCTGCTGATGGGCGACTTACGGCCTTCAACACTTGTTCATCACACCTACTGGTGGTGTCTTTATTCTATGGCTCTGGCATCTACATCTATATACAGCCCTCAGGGGACAGCCCTCAAGATGTCATCAAAGTTCTGATGCTATTTTACTGCGTTATTACTCCCATGGCCAACCCATTCATCTACACCTTGAGGAACAAGGATGTTAAAGGAGCTTTGAGGAGACTTCTGAAGAGGGCCATTTTGTCCAAGAGAATGTGAGAAAATGATGCTTTATTCTGAATGGGAAAGCCCAACAATAACCTGAAATATATCCTCCTTTAAATAGACGTTCCATCAAAATCATGCTCAAAAGTCAATTCAAGAAAACCTTTGTGCGTCGTTTACCACTTCTGACACCAAGTGTGTTGGGTTTTTTCCCCACAACAACCAATTCTCTGAAACAAACTGGGTGTCCTACATTCAATTCAATTCTGACACTAACTACCCAGAGTTATCATAGGCCCCACAGGTTAAGGGCTCAATTCCACAAAACTGCCTCTGTTACTGGAGAGTAGGTTCTTGTCTCATCCCAGAGACATTTCAGAGACGAGACACAGAGGCTAAGGAAGCAAAGCGAGGATTTATTAATTGATAGTACACTCTCAGGAGGGAGAGCAGGCAGGCTCAGGTTAGAAGCTGCTCTGAGTTCCTTCGGTAAGCTGGTTATATAGGGTGTGAAAATGATTGGGCAGAAAATATTCATTGAGGAGGGTGGGGTTTGGGGTCAAATTTCCTGATTTTCATCCCAGCTCCACCTTCCCCGGGGGAGGAGGAATTTTTGCCCTTTCTTGGTCTTAATTGTAAGTGTCATGGTGTCGGTGCATCATGGGTACTTCTTCTCTGCAAGGCTAATTTTATTGTAAAGAGGGCGTAACAAGCAAAAGGTTACATTCGGAAGCCAGAGATTCCCACCTTTTGCCGCCTTTCTTTGCCTCTAGGACTCATGTCGCCTCAAGATGTAAGGTTTCCTGTCACCTGACCCGTGCCCCCCACCCCCTTTCTCTGCTCATATCTAGCTACCTGCCTGCTCTGATACCTCCGCTTCAGGTGCCAATCACAAGTTCAGGCCACCCGTACTTCTGACCAACCAGCTACAAAGTCAGGGTTCCTAGAACAGCTCACTAAACTCAAGAAAACATTTTTTAAAATATTTATTTATTTGCCTGCGCCGGGTCTTAGCTGCGGCACTTGGGATCTTCGTTGCAGCGTACGGGATATTTTAGTTGCAGCATGCGGGATCTAGTTCCCTGACCAGGGATGGAACCTGGGCCCCCTGCGTTGGGAGCGCGGAGACTTAGCCTCTAGACCACCAGGGAAGCCCCTCAAGGGAACATTTCACATATTTTTACCAATGTATTATAATTATAATGCCGGCTGCCGTGAGCTGGTCTCCTGGAGTGACCCCTGACGTGGGAGACTGGGCTTTGTGCCCGGACCCGACCCCAGGCACAGATTTCTTACCCGGACCGGGCCCCAGAGGTTTCAGAGAAGCAGAGGACTCCTGAGTGTAAGAGGGGTGGCTTTTTTGGGAATCTGGTGGGTCTTTGACGCATAGAAAGCAGGCACTTTTCTTTAGTCCTTGGGGTCAGAAGTGTTTTCAAAATCAGATTGATGAATTTTTTAAAAAACATGGTGCGTGTATAGTATATTGAATGCATAACACCCCAGGAGCCTGGGGCAGTCCCATATTTTATTACAGAAAGTAGCATCAATATTTCTGTAACGAAATATGAATTTTACTCTAAAACTATAAATAACTACATGTCATTTCAAGCCAAGCTGTTACAAAATGAATTTATGTCACTTTGAGTATTGCCATCAAATGACTTATGAAAATACTCTTGGTTTTCAGAACTCTGGGGGACGTCAAAATTGTGGAGGAGGGATTGTGGAGCCGTTCTAGTTAATATTTTCACTGCCTTATTTCTCTAATCTTGTTTGTTTATGTATCACACAGTATTAAAGCAAACAATTCCTGAGCAAGCTGTTGAAAAAGTCTTAGAGTTAATACCTTTTGTTAGTCATTATTTTTTTCAACAGATAGTTAATTGATGATTTATATGTCCCAGACATTCTTTTGGCACTTAGAATGGTGCAGTGTACCAAACTGATAGATAAAACCCCTGTTCTTATGGCATTTATATTATTGTGGAGTAACAAACAAAAGGCAAATAAAGACATGTTGTCAGTTGGTGGTGAGTGTTACAAAGAAAGTAGAGTAAGAGGGTGGATAATGGTAGGAAAACTTTTATATACAATGAGCTAGAAATGTCTCTTTGAGAAGATGATTTTTGAGCATACTTTAAAGAAACAAGGGAATGCCCTATGCTAATATCTGGGTAAGAGCATTCCACGCAGGTGTGAAGGGCCTCAGGTAGGCTGCATTTAACATGTCTAAAATAGAAAAGGGTTGGAGCAGAGTGAGTATAGGAAAAAGATTACTCTTTTCATTTCTAAAATAATCATATGAATTTCCATTACCAGGAATGTCAAATCCTCAAATCATCTACATCACTGTTAGGCAGATTTCAAAAACCTTTTCTGTTGTGTTTTTCTTCAAGTGGTATAGGCAGTGTTTAATAATAATACACGTGGATTTTTAAAAACTGATGGCAGTTTTTCATCTTAATACTTTCTATATTTTGCAAAGGGGAGTCTCCCTGGAGTGTGAACCTATCTGCAGGGATCCCTCTTCTGAGAGAAAATGAATACAGACCTTATTATTCAGAATGAAAAAAATCCAGGAGGAACCTGTAATAGTAAAGGGGGAGGAAGAGACTTTTTTGTACAAGAAATTGACTTGCAGCAGAATAGCCAGTCCAGCCAGGAAGTCTTCTGCCAACACTTTAGACGGTTCTGCTACCAGGAGACACTTGGACCCAGGGAGGCTCTGAGCCCACTCCAGGAACTTTGCTGTCAGTGGTTGATCCCAGAGAATCATAAAAAGGAGCAGATCCTGCAGTTACTGGTGTTGGAGCAGTTCGTGGCCATCCTGCCTGAGGAGCTCCAGGCTTGGGTGCGGGAGCATCATCCATTGAATGGAGATGAGGCTGTGTCTTTGCTGGGAGATTTGGAGAGAGAACTTGATGGTCCAGAATTTCGGGTGGGAAGAGGAAGCATGTTCTGCTGTGGCAATCAGACCATTAAATTAACCACATTTAATAGTTTGGTCAATAGGAAAGCAGTGAGGGTAACTGAGCTTTTGTCCCTGTCAGGAGTCATTGCTTCTGTCAGTTCATTTTTCTGTCTCATCTCTCCTGCTAAGCTCATTCAGTCCTTTTTCCTAATCCTGTTTCCATGGGAGTTGTTTCCTAAGGTTTTAGCTCTGGTTTTCACAGTAGTTTCCTCCTAAGCCCAATGTTCCCTGATTGTCTCCAGGACACATCTCAAGCAGGTGGACAGGAAATGCTCTGGCAGGCGGTGATATCTCTGGTTGCTGCACAGCAGTCACCAAGTTGTCAGCTCTGGCACGTGGAGACCCTGCTCAAGCACGACTCTATATTCACAAAATATAGAAAGTATTAAGATGAAAACCCCATTTCCTACGAGAGAGGTGAGGAGGAGAGGGAGAAATGTATCTGGGAAGGTGGGTTAGGGTAGCAGGCATCTACTTGGCCAACCAAAGCCATCCTTTACAACTTAACCAATAGTGTTTCTAACCCTAACTCTCACCTGAAATCCTCCCTGGCTCATATACTCTCTCTTTACAAAGTACAACCTTTATTCTTGGTCTTTTAAGCAAAAGATTTTTATTTTATTTGTTTTCATATACCATGTTGGTTTTCATTAAAGCATTAAACTATCACATCATTCTGTTGCTTTTTATACCACCTCTGTTTTACAGTCTCCTTTACAATGACCTTCTAAATGTCCTATCCTACCCTGTATCTGTAAGTTTTCTATACCCATCAGTGATAAAGTCATCTTTTAAGCCTTTCACTTTGACTACATTTCTCCTGTCCTCTTCCACATTAAATTCTCTTGTCTTTTCATGTCAATAGCTTCCCCTACGTGTCACTCCAGTCTAGGTTTGTTACACGTTTTCCTTTCCACATTCTCTACATGCTAAATGTGCTTTCCATTTACTAAGCATCTCCCTTTTTACATCCTGATTCCCTTTAGAATCTGTCTCCAGAAAAATAGCAATAAAGTGACCAGAAGAGTCAAGAAATCAGTCCTTTTCCAGTATTTCCTTTGAGTTCAAGTGGAATCTCCATTTTAATGAGCTCGATGGGACATTTAATTTATTTCCTTCAGGCCAAATTTCACTAAAAATGTGTATTTTAGTGTGTTCATAAAGCAATACTGATGTTAGTTTGTTTGAAGGAATTATTGGTTTACACTGAATCTTCAAGCAATGTTCTATGCGGGGGAGGATTAAGACAAAGGGTTTTCTCTCCAAGCAATAGAGGAAATACACTTTTGCCTTTCTGCTATACAGTGGGCCCTTTGTATCTGTGGGTTGCACATCCTCCTATTCAACCAAGCGTGGATCGAAAATATTCAGAAAAAAAAAATTCCAGAACATTCCAAAAAGTAAAGCTTGAATTTGCAGCACACTGGCAACTATTTCCATAGCATTTACATTGTATTAGGTATTATAAGTAATCTGGAGATGATTTAAAGTATATGGGAGGATGTACATAGGTTATATGCAAATACTATACTATTTTATATAAGGGATTTAAGCATCTTCAGATTTTGGTATGGAGGCATGGGTCGTGGAACCAATCCCCTGCAGATACCAATGGACAACTGTACTTGTATTTGAATGCAATTTAAAGTACTCTTTACACACTTAGACTTTAACAAAGTAGTGCCCCTTTTTGGTGTTAAAGATTATTCTCAATCCTGCCTTAGTAATTATTACATAGGTTATTTATGCCTAGGATATGTCTATTTCAACTTTCCTTTCTAGCATTTTCCTTAATTGAACATAAGAGCTATTTATTAATTGTTGGAGGAGCATGACTAGAAAAGAGATAAATGATCCCTTGGGAGTTTAATATTTCATCAGTTCAAAAAGGTGACATTTCTATTGTTTACTTTTACATATGTTTAAAATCTTCCATAATAAAAAGCTTAAAAAGAAAGTGACATTTAAATGATCCATTTCCTATTTCTGAAAGTGAGACCAAACCTTAGACTGGGAAGTTGACTGCAAAGCAGGAAGTGTCCAAAGGAATGGAATCACAGAAGATGATACTCAACAGAATCTT